GCCTTAGTCCACAGCGAGAGCCTGTAATCACAAGAGTCGCTGCTGCTACGGCTGCTAAGGCGCATCAGTCGTGTCCGACTCTGTGCGACCCCATAGACGGCAGCCCACCAGGCTCCCCCGTCCCTGGCTCTACTCACTGTCAATTCTCCACACAGCTACAAAGTCGTAGACATCTTGCTTCTCTGTTTGATCCTCTGACTGTCCTGCCCAACACCCCTCGCCTGATAAACAGATCCAGGGCCCGCAGTGCAGACAGACCTGGTCCTGCTCCAGTCATCGGGTTATTGGCATTAACTGTCAGCTGTGGAGCCTCAGTCAGACATGTTGTCACTTAAGATGGGGGTGCCTGGGATCCCATGTTTAACCATGAGAAAAGAAACTCAAAACAGGAGAATTGGGGGCAACTCTCTGGCTGAGGTGAATTTTGGAGAGGTTGACTTGAAAGAATCACCCCTAAAACATGCGATCATTCGTCCCTTCACATGACTTTTAAGCACTTTTCAGATGGGCTTGAAACAAGATTTGCAGTCTCCTTGCCTGCCTCTTGGCCTCCTCGTTACTTCTCCATCTGAGATGATCAACTTTTCTCGAAAGGGCTCATACCACAGCTTTCTAATTGACTGTCCCCTGCTGGGAAAGATTGAAGGCAGGGGGAGAAGGGGACAACCAAGGACGAGATGGTTGGATGACACCACGGACTCAGTGGACATGATTTTGAGCAAGCTCCGGGAGATGGTGAATAACAAGGAAGCCTCGCGTGCTGCAGTCCGTGGGATCGCAGAGTTGGCCTCAACTGAGCGACTGAAAGCAACGAAGATGTCACAGCCCACTCTCTTAGCCAGGATGGGCCAGAATCTATCCTAGGTGATCCAGCATCTTCCCCTCCTCACGCCCTCACACCCTCCCGAGCAATCCTCCCCACCCCTGTGGTGTTGATATCCCTGACCACAGGCGACCCTCAAGGCTACTGCTCCTGGCTGGAGGGCTTTTCTCTGCTGTGTCTAGCACTGCTCATGGTCCTGTTGGGCATGCTGACTCAGTACCCTTGGGCAGCTCAACCCGGCCTGTCCCGATCAGAGCTGTCGCTTCCCCTCTCTGCTGCCACACAGACCTTTTTTATTTCCCACTTTGCGGAACAGTCGTCAGAGATCCAAGAAGTCAGGAGTCACGCCCACAATCACCTCTTCATTTTCTCCTAATTTCTCCCAATTCTGTCCCCACCTCTTACCCTCACCCTCCCTGCCAGCAGGCCACCACCACCTCTTGCCGAGACAGTTTGATGAAGGCCCAGACCCACAATCCTGTGACCAGTCTCTCACCTTCTCAAATCACCCTTTACTTGCTGCCAGAATGAGTTTTCTAAAGTGCAAAGTGAGACTTATTATTCCTTTAATTAGTTCAGTTCAGTCGCTCAGTCATGTCTGACTCTTTGCGACCCCATGAATCGCAGCACGCCAGGCCTCCCTGTCCATCACCAACTCCCAGAGTTTACTCAAACCCATGTCCATCGAGTTGGTGATGCCATCTAACCATCTTATCCTCTGTCGTCCCCTTCTCCTCCTGCCCCCAATCCCTCCCAGCATCAGGGCTTTTTCCAATGAGTCAACTCTTCACATCAGGTGGCCAAAGTATTGGAGTTTCAGCTTCAGCATCAGTCCTTCCAATGAACACCCAGGACTGATCCCCTTTAGGATGGACTGGTTGTATCTCCTTGCAGTCCAAGGGATTCTCAAGAGTCTTCTCCAGCACCACAGTTCAAAAGCATCAATTTTTCAGTGCTCAGCTTTCTTCACAGTCCAACTCTCACATCCATACATGGCCACTGGAAAAACCATAGCCTTGACCAGATGGACCTTTGTGGGCAAAGTAATGTATCTGCTTTTTAATATGCTGTCTAGGTTGGTCATAACTTTCCTTTAATAGCACTTCTCAAACTCCTCCACTTAAGTACGCCTAATGCAAGAAGAGTGAACCAGCCCCCAGGAGGTTTGGGAAGGGTCACAAGAGCACAGTCCACAGGTGGGGCCTTCCACAGCCCAGAAGGCCCCACCCACAATGTGAAGTTTCTTGTCAAGTCCCACTTTTTAAACTCATTTTGTCAATTTGCATTCTACTCTATAACATATCTGCTTTTGTTTTGAAATTAAAATAAGATGTCCCTAAATCTTCAAGCAAAATTGATCTGTAGAAAGGTGCATGTTTAATCCTGGCAGAACTTTGAAGCCCACTAGTTTGAGAAGCACGGGTCCGAGCTGGAATGTCCATTGCTTTGCATGTTATTTGCATGACTCGCCTACAGGTGTCCATCTGTCTCTGCAGCTCCAGGCCTCCGCCCAGCTCCGTGAAGTCCAGGCACGGAACCGCTCGTCACTCTGTGACCAGCACACTGGCTCCCATCTCGGAACGGTTACCTGTGTCCTGTTTACGTATGCTGTTTCCTCAAACCAGACCACGCCCTTCCCCTCCCCCCACCCCACCCCCGGTCTATCCGCTTATCCTCTAGATCCAACTCGAGTATCACCTTTCCTGTGAAGCTCTCCATGATGAACTCCACTGGAGACTGAGTTCACTATCCCTCACTGAATGCCCCCCAAATCCGTACGTTTTCCATAGCATCATCTCACTGGATCTTTACTTTTAATGTGATTTTATTTGTAGAATAACTGCTTTACAGTACTGTGTTGCTTTCTGCCGTGCATCAGCATGAATCAGCCATGGGTGTAAGTGACCCTCCCTCTTGAACCCGCCTCCCACCCCTCTAGGTGGTCGCAGAGCACCTGATTTGCATACTGTGCACGCTTGCTGCGAGCTCAGAGCTTCAACTGTGTCCAATCTGTGACCCTATGTGACTATAGACCATGGCACACCAGTCTCCTCTGTCCACAGAATGCTCCAGGCAAGAATCCTGGAGTGAGCTGCCATGCCCTCCTCCAGGGCCTCTTTCCGACACAGAGACAGGACCCGCATCTCTTAATGTCTCCTGGCAGCCAGGTTCTTTACCACCCGAGCCCCTGGGAAGCCCAGTCTGTGTCTCACTTGATCTTGATTCTTTGCTGTGCCTCCCCTCCCTACCTGACTGGATTGTTTCAGGGCAGCGTCTGTATCTTACTGTGGCACTCTCCAGGGCAGATCTGGCTGCCCTGAAGGGCCATGGGGATGTTCAGCTCCTCTTTCATTACTCATTCCTTCCCATCTGTCCAATAGGATGACCCCCAGATGGACAGGAGCTCTCCAGTCAATGGTGGATCCTTAGCTTTCTTCTCCTGCTGTATCCTCCAAACAAGATCTGAAGACCTGACGCGTGTAGATTCTCAGTGAATATCAGTTAAATGAATGAGCCCATGATCAGCACCATTGTTTCCTTAAGTTAAGCTGCATTCTGTTTTCTCAATCTTACCTTTCAGAGAATCCTGGTATCTCTGAACTTCCAACAGCTAACCACAGGCCAGCACTTATTGGACATTAAATAAATGTGTAATAAATAAGCAAATGAATAAGCTAATGTGTGTGCATTTCAGTGTTTCTTTAAAAGTGCATGTGCTCATTTTAATTTTTCATCCTAACACCTGGTGTTTTTACCAACATGTTAGAAACTGATTTTTCACTCGGAAATGGGATCTTGACAAACTGGTGATGAATGAATTTTTTTTGAAAGCCTTAGCTGTAACCAGTGTGTTTTTTTGTTTTTTTATTTTTTAAATTCTGGCTCCTTTAGGAATTGAAATTTTGGGTGGCTTTGATCTCTACCATAGCTAATATAATTTAGTGGGTAAAAACCATGGTCTATCTCTGTTTATAAGTATAAATGCACAATAAATGTGTTTTGAAGCCTGGCGCTACTCCTAAGCATTTGGACAGAGCTAAGAGCAAGTTCTTGGTCTGCCTCCAGGTCCCCAGTGAGCACCCAGCGAATTCTTTGTTCATAACTTGCTCATTCCCATCTGGATGTAAAAATGGAATGGTAGAGGATGTTATCCTTACCTTAGCCACTGTTTGGTTATAACCTGGCTGCCAGGAACTACGGTCAGGCATAAGCCAGTGAAGCAACTTCAGACTAGAGATGAGTTTGGCTTTACCAAATCTTAGAACAGTGTTCTTCCTTTTTTTTTAATTGAAAATTTTCAGTAAAAAAGCTTGTGACCAAACATCCCCAATATCCACATATGTATATATTTGTAAATTTTATACACCCAAGACCATATGTAAATAAATGAATGAATAAGTTAAGTAATGTGTGTGCGTTTCAGTGATTCTTTAAAGGTACATGCACTCACTTTAATTTTTCACCCTGCCATGTGGTGTATTTACCAACCTCTTAGAAATTGGTTTTTCACTTTGAAATGGAATCTTGACAAATTGGTGATGAATGAAGTTTTTTTAAAGCCTTATCTGTTATCAGTTCTATTTTTTAATGTATCTGTAACTATAAAACTTCTATAAAACTCACACTACTACAAAACTCTATTTGCACATCTAAAGACAATGTGCAAATGAGTAGAAATAGAAGTTATATTTTCTTCCTTCACCCCAATGGATTGTCTCATGAGTAGCCCACTGTCTGAGGGGCTCACAGCTTTCTCTGGAAGGCTTGGTTAGAATAAGATTCTCCAGTATTAGGCCATTGACTACATGCGAACCCAGTTCACCCACCGGCTTACTCCCTTCCATTAATCCTATCAAAAGTAACTGGCTTGAGACTTTTCAGAAAAAATTAGAATTCAGTGATAGAGTGATGATTTAAAAGGCTTTATTTCCAGAGGAACCAGCTTCTTATGGTCATGCTAAATGCCATATTTCATTCCAAATGAAAAGATCGAGGCTGCTGATTATACTGTAGGGTAAGGAGAAAAGCAATAAAGCTGCAGTGTATTCTCAAAGCAGGTTAAAAATGGTATGGCGAGGAAAAGGAGGCTTTTATCTCACAAAGCCATAGACACTGGACAAATTAGCTTGCCTTTTGAGCAAATCAGCCATCATCAACACGGCCCATTGCAAACCCTTTAAGATTTGTGATAATAACAAGTGCTGCAGTGGCAGTCCGTGTGGTTCTCCACTCTGACGTTTCCCATCACTGTGGCCTAAAGGGGAAGGGAAGAAAGGATAGATGATACATAGATGTAGGCGGATAGACAGGTAGGCTAGCAAAATTGAAAACTGTTCGGTAAACTTGTCTCTAGCCAGCTGAACTGAGTAGATGCTTGCTACGTGGGAATTCTGTGCTGGTCCAGTGCCTAGCAGGGGGCCCAGGTTCCCATCCCTGTCAGAGAACTAGATCCCGCCTGCCACAGCTAAAGTTCCCACATACTGAATGCTACAGCCAAGACCCTGTGCAGCCAAACAAATAAATAAGTCCTTTAAAAAATAGATGCTTGCTATATTTGCATAGTCTCCTTTTCAGCTGATATTTTCATTCTGAAAGTTTCAATGTGCACTGTGTAAGTATTCTATGTTCTCTCCCAACCCGCCCCTTATCACCTCTGTCCACTTTCTTCATTCTGGATAGATCCAGCCTGCGTCCAGAAGGCCGCTGACTTGTCTTGATTAAAGCAGACAAGCTCAGCCCTCCGCTCTACAAATGCCCATTGAAGGACTGGTCATTAGCTACCTCCAGTGTGAAGCCCGTGGCTGTGCTGTGAGGACATTTCTCTGGTTGAACTGTCAGAAAGTTTCTGGGGCCCTTTAAGTCCTCACCTTGGTAAACGCTTTGGCCACACAGCATGTGGCTTCCGAGGTGATGTTCTTGGGGACCAACATTGTCTTCTTAGACCTCGCTGGAGTGGGGTATGCCCTGGAGAAGCAGCAGCCCGTGCACTGATAGACTGGAGCGTCTGGCTTGGAGAAGTATTTGTTTTCCTTTAGCTTGCATTCAGGACAACCTATCACCAAAAAACAAAAGTTTAAAAGAGAGAGAGAGAAAGAAAAAAGAGAGAAAGAAAGAAAAAGGCAAAGAGTAAAACAATCCAAAAAGAATTTTTAAAAACTATGAATTATTCCTTATTACAGGACAACAAATATTCTTTTTTTCTATTGGAAATTAAAATAGGCACTTTTTGGTTGTATGTCCACCTTCATACACAGTGTCTGTTTGTCCTGCCTGCGGTTATTTTCAAAGGAAAATAATTCTGCAGCTGGGCAGGGACATCTCAGTGGTAGAAGATTCTTTAGGAATGACTTCTCACTTCCAGTGCTGATAGTATGTCTGCAGGGAATGCAAGACTAGACAGATGAAAACACCACGCTCATCCAAAAGAAGAGTTTTGCCCAGAGGCAAAATCTTTTGCACTTTAGAATCTACTATTTCTTTCTCCCATAGAAACTCCAAATATTGACAGAGGAAAACTTGTCAGAATCAAGAAAGCTTGGTGAGTGGGACAGCCTGCTGCTAGATCTGGCATCTGCACTTGGAGCAGGGGTTAAAATATTACCACTTGTCTGGAGGAAAACCATCACCAATAGTAGCTCACAGTTTCATAGCAGATGGGGTGGTATCAGCTACTATACGAGATTTTTCAGAAAGTAGAGCAAAAAAATTTACTGCATAAAGTGGTTTTGTTTTCTAACTCGTTAACTGATATGAAAATTCATCTACAAAGGCAATGTTAAAAAAAAGCCCAAATCTTCTGGGAGAAATGAAAAAAAAAAAAAAAACCAACAAGCTAAACTGAATAAGGAGCAGTTTTTGCTTGCAAAACTCAGATAAAGAATAATCAGGAATCTATTTCAGATGGAAATGAACAAGCTGCTATTTAAATGGACATGTAAAATAACATTTTCACTGTACATTTTTGGAAACTAATTTAATGTTCACAATCTAAAAGTGCCTTGATATATACCCAATGGCAAAGATTTATCACATTTGAAAAGGAGGTATAAATGTAATTAATGGAGTTATTGATGTACATCTAGAAATGTGTGCTTTCTTGTTACTGCAAACTCAAGTTTGGTCACACACCCTGCATTGTAAACTCTCCATCAGGAAAGGAATGGAGAATTTGCAGAAACAGAGACAATATGGCCAGAATGACAGCTGCATATTTTCTGTAGTAATCCATGGCTCTTCTGCAAAACAGACATAGGAAAAAAAGTTACTATAAAATTGACTTAACAGGCGTAACCACACCCAGTAGCTCTAACATTGCTGCAACTAAGTCATCAATGTCTTAACTCCTTGGCCTACAGCTGTAGCCACATATAGAAAAGCAATTTCTCTTCAGGAAAGGGTAGAGAATTGACTCTTCTCATTTCTTATATCAACCAGTATAACCAGGCATAATGATAACAAAAAGAAATTCTGTTTCCAAAATCATAACATCCTGTTAAGAATCTTTAATTACCTTATTTATAAAATATGAAACTTCAATAGATAATATCTAAGGATATCTATAAGATGGATAGATGAATGGATAAATAGACAAGCTTAAATATGATTTATAAAATAAACAGTATTTGAGCCCATCCTTCCTAGTTCCACGTGGGAGACCAGAAGGAAATGACAATGCCTCTCTCGTTTTTTATTCACTGGGGGTAGCTGAGTTGTAAAGCTAGTTATGAATTGCAAAGTAAATGCTAATCCAACAATGTGGCAAGAATAGACAGCAGGTAGATTAATCAAAGCTTTCCTAAGTGCACTTCCTAACTTATCTATACCTGCAGTACAGCTTTACCTAAGCATTCTGAATGCATGAATCATGTTAAGTAAGGTCAGCGAATGATTAATCACATCCAGATATTAACTGCATTTAAGAATTGGGTTTTATCTCTACATGTTTTAGAAAAATCTCGTGTAAGATAAAAGGGGCAGATTTTTATCCTTGTTTATTTAAAGAGCTTATGTTCAAACCATGAAAGATAAGAGACAGAATCAATTACCTGTGAAAATACAATTCAGAACACTTAAAGAATTAACACCAATTTTACAGAATCACTTTTATAAAATGGAAGAGGGAACAGCTCCCAACTCAATTTATGAGGCCAGGATTACCCTGACACAAAAGCCAGAAATATACCGAACAAAGAAAGAAAACAGGAGATTGGTGCATCTCACGAAATTTATTTTTTTATCTCATAGTTAGATGGGAAAATCCTAAACAAAATAATAGCAAATTGAATACAGTAATGTATAAGAAAAATGATTCAACACAACCAACTGGAAATAATTCGCAATAGTCAAGACTGGTTCAATATTTGAAAATCACTTAATTGTAATCCACCATATCAAAAGAATAAAGAAAAGAACCATATGATTATACCAATTGACACAGGAAAGCTTTTGACAAAATCCAATACTCTTTCACAACAAACACTCTCAGCAAACAAGAACCAAAACAGTTTTCTCAACTTGATAAAGACTGGATAAAGAGCATTTATAAAAACCTACAGGTAACCTACAGATAATATCATACTTAATGTGAAAAACCTAATGCTTTCCTCTGAAGCTCAGAAACACAGTGAGGGTGCCCATTCTCATCACTCTTATTTAATACAGTACTAGACATTCTAGCCAGTGCATAACCACAAATTTAAAAGGAAGAAGTAAAACTGTCCCTATTTAGAGATGATATGATCATCTACATTTAAAAAAACAAAACAAGGAACCTACAAAAAAGGTCCTGGAATTAATTAGTGAGTTTAGGAAGCAAGATTGAATGACAAGAACAACATACAAAAATCAACTACATGTCTATATACTAAAAACAATAATGTGGAAACAAATTAAAACACAAATACTATTTATACTCACTCCAAAGAAAATAAAATACTTAAGTATAAATCTAATGAAATATGAACAAGACTTGTATGCTGAAAATTACGAAGTATCGATGAAGTAAATCAAAGAAGACCTAAATAAATTGAGAGACAAATCATGTTCATGGATTGGAAGACTCGACATAGTAAAGATGTCAGTTCTCTTCAAATTGATCCCTATGCTTAGTGAAATGTCCATCAAAATCCTAGCACAGCTTTTGTACACACAGAGAAGTTAATGATTACTGAATGGCGAAGGATCTGGAACAGCTGAAGCAATTGTAGAAACACGGAGGGAGGAGACAGGCTTCCTGGTTAAGCATTGAGTCTTATAACGCAACTGCAGTAATCAGAATAGTATGATATTAGCAGAAGGACAGACAGGACCTAGACCAATGGGACAGAACAGAGAACCAAAACACAGACTCTACACAAATATGCCCAGGTGGCTTTTGACAAAGATGTCAGAGCAATTTAACAGAGGAGTTCGACATTTCCAACAATGGCTGCTATAACAATTGGACATCCATAGGCAAAACAAATACAAAAGCAGGACATATAAACAAAACACCTCAATGTAAATCTCACACCTTAGATGAACATTAATTCCCTGGGGTGGGGGGAGGAAGGCTCAAGAGGGAAGGAATACATGTATTCTTGTAGCTGATTCATGTTCTTGGGTAGCAGAAACCAACACAACATTGTAAAGCAATTATCCTCCAATTATAAATAATTGTTTTCAAAAAGTTAAAAAGAGAAAACTAATTCAAAATGGACCATCCATTTAACTGTAAAATGTGAAATCATAAAATTATTAGGAAAAAAATTGGGGGGGGCAGGTTCTAGGTGGAGAGTTTTTAGAGTAGACAAAAAAAAAACTTATAAAAAGAAAATTGATATATTGGACCTCATCTAAATTATGAGTTAATTTCAAAGAGGACGAAACTGCAAGATACAGACTTGGAGAAAACGTTTGCAAGCTGCATATCTAACAAAGGACTGGCATTTGGAATATATAAAGAACTCTCAAAAGTCAGTAGAAAAAGAAATCCAATTGGAAAATGGGCATTGCCCTGGAAAAGATATATAGAACCCAGGGATCAAACCCAGGTCTCCCACATTGCTGGCAGATTCTTTACCAGCTGAGCCACAGGGAAGCCCAAGAATACTGGAGTGGGCAGCCTATCCCTTCTCCAGCGGATCTTCCCAACTCAGGAATTGAGCCAGGGTCTCCTGCATTGAAGGCAGATTCTTTACCAGCTGAGCTACTAGAGAAGCCCATATAGAAGGCAAATTAGCACATTTAAAATATTCTACATCAACCGTTAGGGACATGGGAATTAAAACCACAATGAGATATTACATACCTAACAGATAAAACAAAAATAACATCAAATGGATGCAAAGAAACAGGATAATTCAAACTTTGCTGGTTGGAAATATAAAATAGTACAACCTCTGTGGAAAATAATTTGGAAGTTTCTTATAAAACCGTCCATGTACTTACCATGTAGACCAACAGTTACACTTGGGCGTTTGTCTCAGAGAAATGAAAACTATGTTCAAGTAAAATTTGTACACAGAAGTTCAGAGCAGCTTTACTTATAACAGCCCCAAACTCAAATGATCCAGTTGCCCTCCGGTGGATGGAGAGGAATGGTTGGTTATGCAAACAATGGTAACTCCATACCAGAGAACATGGTGTGGCAGCAAAAAGGAACACATTATTGATAGACATGCAACTTGGATGGATCTCAAGGGTATCATGCCGAGTGAAGGCTGCATACTGTATGATTCCATTTATATAACACTTTTGAAATAATAAAAGTATAGAGGTGGAGAATAGATGAACAGTTATGAGGAGTTAGTATTGGAGAGGGAGTTGATGGGAGTAAATAAGTGTGACTATACAAAGATGGCATCAGGGAGCCTGTGGCGATGGAAGAGATCTTTATCTCGATTGTGATAGGGATACACTAAAATACACTCAGGGTGAAACTGCAGAGAAACACACACAGCACTGATGAAATCCACATCAACCGTGTGCTGCACCAGCGTCAGTTTCCTGGCTTCCCCTTTGTCCTGTCGTTATGGAAGGTACTCTGGCGGGGTTTGTGGTGTGTGTGCTCACTGGCTCAATTGTGTCCGACCCTTTGAGACCCCATGGACCTGCCAGGCGCCTCTGCCCATGGGATTTGTCAGGCAAGAATACTGGAGTGGGTTGCCATTTCCTCCTCCAGGGGATCTCCCCAGCCCAGGGATCAAACCCTCTCTCCTGTCTCCTGCATGGAAAGGCAGGTTCTTCCCCCACTAAGCCCCCTGGGAAGTGCTCCTGGGGGAGCTAGCTAAGAGCACTCAGGACTTCCCCGAGTGTTTTTCTGCAACTTCCTCTAAATCTATAATTTATCAAAACCAAAAGTTTCTTTAAAAAAAAAAACATTTCAGAATGAGTCTTAAAATTTCACATGATTCAAAACTTGTGGCTATTTTTCATGTGGACTGACATAATAAGACCATGCTTTTGCCAGATGTTTATATAAACCCATACATCTTATAAGAATAATTTGTCAGACGGCAGAACTAACAGTTTATAAAACAGATAGCAGACTATGTACACATTGGTAAGGCTAAAACATATGTATGTCATTATTTCTACCTGATCTATATACTTATGCCTAGTATTTAGGGGTTTTATTTATCTTCATCCATGATTAACACTGAATAAATATTGTCCTAAGTCAGTGGCTCTCAACAAGTGATCTGAGGATCCTAAAGACTTTCAGTGGGTCTGGGAGGTCAAAATTATTTTCACAATACTAAGATGTTGTTTGGGTTTTTCACCCTTACCCCTCATGAGTGTTCAGTGAAATATTCTAGAGGCCATATAGTATACGATACTGTAACAGAGTGAATAAAGAAGCACGTGAGAATGTAGCTGTATTCTATTAGCTCAGTGCTGTTTAAATTTTTGCTTAAAAGTAAAACAATTCCATTCTTCCCACTGACTTTTTTGTTTTGGAAATTGTCATTTTTTAATAAATATATTTTATCTGTGCTAACATGTTTTTTAAGTGGTTTTTAATTGAATAAATATTTTAAAACTCATAACATAATCTCTAAATCAAAAACTATTAATTAATATAAGTTCATTAAAAAATTCTTTGAGCTCTTCAATAATTTTTAAGATCTTAAACTGTTTCTAAGATTCAAAAGTTTGAGAACAACTTCTTAAGTGATATACAAAGTCACAGGGAAAATATCAGAATTGCAATGGGTTTCCTTTTTAAACTAGTATCATTTTCATGCT